AAAACCCATTATAAACGAGGCATTTGTTGCATCCAATGGGGACATAATTACGGATTATAATGACATATACTGTCTTTTTACGCATTGCATCGCGCCGTGTAAACATAAAACTCATAAAACCTACTCTACACTTCTTTAAATATAAAAAACGTACTTACAGTCTGTGAGTCAGAACAGCCGGCATTGTAGTCTACTCTACCAGGATCAGGAAACAGTCCTCCATAAAATGCGCTGGACACATCTGAATATTTGGGTTGAACTGTTCTAGAACAGTGTTGTAAATACAACTTAACCACTGATTTCTAGTCGTGTACTCTTTTGGAAGACCAAACAAAGTAGTTTCGCTTTCACAACGAAACACTGCGTCACACACGGAGGCCTAGAGTGAGGAACGGCCGGCGGATTCAACGAAGGAGCGGCTGGCGGGCTTGCGGCAACCACATGTGACGACCCCTTATGCACCAAGAGCTTGTAACACTCCAAAGAGAAAGGAAAAATTTAAATCGCATCATATGACCCCTTTAAGATCTTCTAAGACCCAGACAAAAAAAATCAACCATTCGATGTCAAAATCCAAGTCAATTTAAACAGATGAAGAAAGACAATAGAACAATTTGGATTAATTGGCAGGTTAATTTTCAGATTATAACAATAAATATACATGATACTCATAAGATCCTTCATAGAATACCATGGTATAAATACAGCATGACTTCCAAAACGTTATGTAAAAGTGCCATGGTACTTTTTTTTGGAGCTACTGAAGTGTGAAGTCAAAGAATGGCAGAAATATCTAGTAAGCTAGACAAAGAGAAAAAAGAAAAAAATGATGGAAAGAACAAAAGAAAAAATGAGATGTAAAGTTTGTTCATCTGTGTTTGACATACACGGCAGGACAGAATAGTGTGACACGTCTGTGCTTTTTTTCAACTTCATAGCAGACATCTCTGACCCACATGAACCCAAAATCAGACTTAAAAGAATAGAGACTCAAACACAAGCTTTTTAGTCCAACAATATGCCTCCAACAGACTATTGAACAGCACAAAGATTATTATAGCACCAATCTGTCAATGTATATATTTGGTGCTGTGGAAGATTTATCTTTGATACAGTGCCCAAAAAAGTATATTTGGACACTTAAGCCACACTTAAAAATAGTATTGCATTAGATTAATTATTCAAACTGTTTTCTATTTTAATATTATAAAATGTTATTTATTCCGGTGATGGCAAAGCTGAATTTTTAGCAGTCATTACTCTAGTCTCCAGTATCACATGATCCTTCATTCTAATATGATAATTTGATGCTAATGAAATTGCCTGTTATTATCAATATTGCATGTTATTATCAATAGCGTGTGTTTTTTGTATGTTGTTATTTAATACAACGAGATTCATAACTGCGTGTGTAAAAATAAATAAATAAATTGGGGGCATTGGGCATTGCATTACCTCGTATTACCACGGTGTGGCAGTCGTGTTCTTTTCCTAATTTAACAAGACGACAAGGAGTACTTTACCACTAGGTGGAGCCATAGCGTTAGAATGTATGATTCTCTGCTATTTCCGATGTCCCGCACACAGAGAACGTGGACGTGCAGAGCAGACCTTGTTGTAAGATAAAAGATAACAGCCTTGGCTGAAGGACTCTGATTCACCACTGAGCTATCCCAAGGACAGAAAGAAAGGGCATTTGATATATCGACAAACAATGAATGAGTGAGTGAGTGAGAGAGAGAGAGACAGAGCGAGAGAGAGAGAGAGAGAGAGAGAGATCTGCGAAAACCTACAAAACCTAAACCCTTCTTAGATATTTTGACCAAAATGAACAAACTTAGTTCGTCTGAGGCATCTAACAGAGAAAAAAATATTATTTACATCAAAATAGAAGTCCTGTTTATTATTATGATTATTATAAAAATATGAATCGTCAGCAAATACTCAGAAGAGATTATGACAGTTTTGCTTAAATGTTTAACTCGTCTTTATAGAAAAAAATGCTTCTTTATGGTATCTGTGCTGTGGTTGACAGTTTTTATATTAAAATGGAAAGTAACTAGAATTTGCACTACATTTATGCTTGTGATAACAATCAAAGTCCATGTGGATGTATTAAAACTAAAGGCTCTTTGATTCGTAGAAACTGAAAGCTTGAAATGTAGTGCAAATATGCTTTTCACTCAGTTAAACTCTATAACATCTACATGTTTTCATCTGCAAGAGAATGTGACATAAAACCTCCAAACCACTGACTTCATGTATAATTGATCTTATAATTATTTTAGTAACATTTCATATTCACAGATGTGAGCTTCAGTAACTCTTTTTTCTGTGGTTCTTTGAGAAATTGGACATTATAAAGCTACCAGCCAAGTGACTGAGTTCAGTGCTTCAACAGACCTGCATTAAACAGAAGTATAAACAAGTATCTTTGAAAGAAAATGTCTACATGTCTAACAGATTACATATTATTATGTATCAGTTCGATTTCTAACAAATACAAACTCATTCAAAAAACAGCTAATTCAAAGTCAGCCTTCATCTTGAAGGTCCTCATTCTATATTGTACCAACGAGTTCAACAAGGTCACACAGAGTCTGATGAGTTTTTTAGTTTTAGGCAAATTTGTGTATCATCTTATATCATACAAACATTATATGTCAACCAGAAAAAACAAAATAGCTACTCCCACATGAAAAAAATACTATAGTAATTTATAGTAAATACTATAGTGTTTTTTGAACCATACTATAGTAAAGTGTATATTATACTGTATATATTATAGTATTTACAACACTTTGTTAATTAATGCTACAGCATAGGCTAACTATAGTGAACTGATAAACTGATATTGTAGTATACTTTAGTTTATACTAGTAAAAACTGTAGTGTACTGTAGTATAATATACCCTATAGTTGTAGAAAACTTGGTACAGTATTGGGTAAAGTAATTTGTTTATATTACTATAGTTGTTATATTACCACAGCATCTATAGAATTACCACAACAAATTAATTCAAGAACTTTACTATATTATGGTTCATAAACACTAGTAGCTATTTACTATAAATTACTATAGTATTTTTTCATGTGGGCTGTTATATTCATAATATGTTAAGATAGCCTATATTTTATGTCTGACTGAGGTGACAGTTCAATAGATTCGCCATTCGTCAATATTTACAATAAATAGCCTATTTGCAGTTCTGTCGTCTGTATGTCCTAAGAAGAAGAAGAAGAAAATGTATTAAATGTTAGCCTATTATTATGCACAGCTTTTACAGTCTTAATAGCCTAAAACGTCAGCTAGGCTAATAATAATATTAATAATATATTTTCCCTCGTGTTTCTTATGTTGACATTTTGTTCCAAACATGTCTTCCCGTAAGGCAAAAACAAATCACTGATTTCTCCTTGTCCCCTCCACAACACTGTATGGAATACCACAGAATTCCCATCTAGGGGCCGCTGTGTGGTGGGAGGAGCGGAAGTTGAGGAAGTCGTGTAATAGATCGGGGAATGAAGAGACTGTGTTTGTTCCAACGGTGCGCCGCTCCAGAGTTCAGGAAGCGTCAATAAAACCATCCTGATACTAAACACACGCACTCACTGGCGCGCACTTATCAGGACTGTGACTCAAGACTGGATCAGGACACTTTTGCATTATGCATTCGGACTGCAGGCTGCTGGGATGGACGCGTCGGTAATGGTAGGCAGAGGGACCGGGGGGGCTGCGGTCTTCATCCTGATCGTCTTCATTTTACTCCTCGGTGCCAGAAGCTCGCGGGCGCAGAAGGGTACGTGATCTTCAGAGGGGGTCAAAGTTTTAGGAGTTGGTAATCTTCTTATAAACTGCTTCACCACCCTTGGGTTTAGGACTGATTGCGGTTTCGCAACAAACTCTTGGGGCGGTGTGGTGTAGCCCTAACGTTAGCGGTTAAAGACCCAGACTGGTAATTGAAAGTTTATTGGTTCAAATCCGGGCGCGGTTCATTAGTATCACACATCGTTTGTTTGATCAAGACACCAATAACTAACCAAGGCACGTAACTACCCTTACGAAAAAGAAGTTTATTCAAGTGTGCTATTAGTATACTTCTTTTAAACTAAAAATAGGAAAGTATACTTTTAGTCTACTTTTTATGTACTTATCAGAAATATACTTAAAATGACATTTAAGTATACTTGACTTATACTTAGAGAAAGTCTAAATATATTTTAGCTATAATTGTGCTCCTTGAATCCGTGTTTTCATTGTTATACGGTAGGGGGCGCTAGTACACATCTTCTGTACAGAATTTCCAAAAAAACACAAGTGAAGAAGAAACCGAAACAACAGATGCTTCCACGTGTAATCTAACACGATCATCAGACATAAAACAGTATCAAAACTGTGTAACGTTATGGAATAAAATGTCGACCAATGAAGAGGTAATAATGACTGTCAAGCTCTGGGGGTGTTGAATCCAATTCATAGTCTTTTTTCAGCTTTTTGTTCAAAATGTTGTTTATTTCTTTATTTTTTATTTATGAAACTTATCCACATTCAAGTGTTTAAAAAAATAATGCATGAAGCTAGAATAAAATGTTTTTGTTTACAAGCAGATACCCTGTTCTTTCTTTTGATGTTTTGTATGTTCAGATATTCATGTAAGAAAATATATACAAATTAATACCTAAATAGGGACATAGTAGTATACTTAAAGTATGATGTAAAGTTCACTTAAAGAAAACTTACGAGTATACTTGCAGTATAAAACTACTAAACTAGTAGTTTACTGAGACTATACTTCAAAGTGTACTAAAAATGCTACTACAAGTATTTAATTAGTAAACTATCAGTATACCTATAAGTTCACTTTTAGTATAGTTGCAGTACAAACTAGACATTTTGATGTAAACTAGTTGTGTACTCAAAGTTTACTACTGTTATGCTTAAAGTATACTTAAAATTACACTTTTATATACTAGAAAGTGGGCCAATTTAGTCCCAAGGAGTATTGAAATAGTACACTTACAAGTATACTACTAGTACACTGATATTTGTATACTTACTACGTAAAGTATACTTAAAAATATACTTGAACTTTACTTAAGTATATTTACTAAAATAAACTTGGAAGTATACTACTTTTTGGTAAGGGTAGAACTGAACCTGTAATTACTTGACTGGGTAACACCTCAGCTCAATAACAGAGTGTGTGTTGTATACTTACATTGTTGCTGTGCTACAGCTGGAGCAACAGAAGAACATGATGACGCAACGCGCTGCCCCCACATGTAGTGAGTTCGTTCATGTGCTGTCCAGTGTCAAGCTGTTGCATTTAAACAGAGAAACTAACAGCACACTTATTGCAGATATAGTCCTTCTTAAGCAATCTGAGCTTAACTCAATAAGTAGTTTTACACATAAGGAAACAGCACTTTTGAGAAATATCATATAAATTATGCCCACTCACATGAGATGAAGACATCATATAGGCCTATATCAGTCTACTAGAAAAAAAAAACAGTGAGGTGCCCCAAATGGGTGCAGCCATGTTGATATCACATGACCAATGAGTTAAAAATCATCATAAATGAGTACTTACTGTGAATTTTATCCTCCAAGCAAATAATAAAAATTCCATTATCAATTTTATAGGGGCATGTTGTCACAAAAGGTTTAAGTTCAAGTGTCATTATTCTTGGGTAATAATGGTGGAAATTTTCCAAAAATAAAAAAATTTTAGTCAAGACTTTCAGGTTTTAGTTTATACAGAAACTGGATTCTAAATATATACCTACCCTAAGAAATGTAGTCATGAATACGTGTGACAACTAGCCCCAGTTTTGGTCCCACTTTATATTAGGTGGCCTTAACTACTATGTACTTACATTTAAATTAATCATTTGGTACAATGCACTTATTGTGTACATGCATGTTTTTTCATTGTACTTATATTTTTAAAAATACCTATATCTAATTACATCTGTAATTAATTCCCGTTATTACATTTGTAATTACACTGTTGACCCATTCCTTACACCTTAACCCACCCTTAAACCAAGCCATACCACCAAACCTGTCCCTAACCTTACCCGTATCCCACCTCAATAGCAGCAAAAGTGTTTTGCAATACAATATGAACACAATAAGTACATTGTACTTATTTTTTGATGTAAGTACATAGTAGTTAAGGCCATCTAATATAAAGTGTGACCCCGGTTTCTCATACAGGTCATTATCTGAAATATATAGCTGACTGTGTCTGAAATAGTCTTCGGTGTGACTTCATCTTTCAGAAATCATTCTAATATCCTGATTTGGTGCTCGAGAAACAATTTTTATTATAATCAATGTTAAAAACAGTTATGCTGCTTAATTTAAGAAATTGTGAATCTTTTCAGAATGGAAAGTTCACAAGCACAGCATTGAAATATAAATCTTTTTGTAACATTATAAATGTCTTTGCTGATCAGTTTACTGCATCCTTGCTGAATAAAAGTATTCGTGAGAAAAAACTCAGTGAAACGAGTGAAAACTAGCACCAGTTACTCATACTGAATGTTATCTGAAATAGCTGACAGTACTTTCTGTGCATAAAACTTTGGAAATGTAAGGTTTGTGTGGGTGTAGTAAAGCTAGGGGAAACATTGAGACTAGAGGTGTGTGTGTGTGTGTGTGTGTGTGTGGATGGGGCTGTTGTTTTTTTGCTGCGGGGTCTGAATATTGTCCAGCAAGGATTACGTAACAACAGCGCAAGCCGAGTTTCATTCGGTCTGTAAACGTGTGACAGGCAACGCAAGCAGCTGCAATGCAATGCGATCTCATCTCTCTCTCTCTCTCTCTCTCTCTCTCTCTCTCTCTCTCTCTCTTTCTGCACCTCTAAAGATTCAACAAGGAGCTATTTTGTACAACTTTCAAGTAAAACATTTCACCAAATGAAATTTTAGTTTAAGGTGACAAAACATTCTGTACATAATTAAGACAAAATTTGGGCACTTTGTTTATGAAACCTTAGTGCTGGGGTTCTCAACTCTGGCCCTTGAGGTCCATTTTCCTGCGGAGTTTAGATGCAACTCTAATCAAACACAACTGAACAAGCTAATAAAGGTCTTCAGGATTACTAGAAAGTTACAGGCAGGTGAGTTTGATCAAGGTTGGAGATAATCTCTGCAGGAAAGTGGACCTCGAGGGCCAGAGTTCAGAACCCCTGCCTTAGTGGGTCATGCAAATTTCATCAAATTATGTTGATTGTACCGCATCCAGATTAGACTGTAATTTCCATTAAACTAACAAAGCATTCCATGCTGTTATCTTGTTAAATGTATGATCATTTGTGAATGTTTTTCAGGGGACGGCTGTGGACACACAGTGCTGGGTGTGGGCAGTGGGAGCCTGGCATCTCTGGGGTACCCTCTGTCCTATCCCTCAAACTCTGTGTGTGAATGGGAGATCAGCGTGACCACCGGACACACAATCCTTGTGCGCATTGCGGCTCTTGACATAGACACAAACAACTGCCAAGTTTCTTACCTGCGACTCTATAATGGCCACGGACCGGGGCGAACGGAAATTGGTGAGAAACACTTCTGAACACAGTGTTGTTGTAGTTGTTTTTCTAGTCTTCAGTCACATTTATACTTATTATATAAATTGAGATCATTATATTAAATTTGCAAAAAAGTATTTTCTTTTTAAAACTTTTGTAATCTATGGTCCTATTTACACCTGGTATTAATACAATTTGTTGTCGAAAAAGTTGCCAAAAACTGTGAAAAGTGAAAATCACTATACTGAAGTGTTGAATTGAATGAAATATCTTTATTTTCATTGTATGAGAGCAGTTATTATCTCTTATACAATACTGTAAAAACTATAAATAATTTCAAATAAATTAAAAATAAGAGTAACAAACATTATAAACTATGTAAGCCCGTTTCCGCCACTGAATAAAAAATAAAAAAGGTAATTGCGACTTTTTATCTCACAAATCTTACATTTTTTTCTTGTAATTGCAAGTTTACATCTCACAATTCTGACTTTTTTCTCAGAATTGCATGACATAAACTCGCTATTGTGAGCTATAAAGTCAGAATTGCGTGATATAAACTCACAATTGCGAGTTATAAAGTCAGAATTGTGATATATAAATTCACAATTCTGAGAATATATCAGTCTTTTTTCCCCTCAAAATTGGACTTTATAACTCGCAATTGCGAGTTTATATCACGCAATTCTGACTTTTTTTCTCATAATTGTGACTTTATATCTTGCGATTTTGACTTTATAACTTGCAATTGCGAGTTTACATCTCACAATTCTGAGAAAAAAAGTCAGAGTTCAAAAGAACAGCATTTATTTAAAATAGAAGTATTTTGTGACATTATAAATGTCTTTACTGTCACTTTTGATCAATTTAACACATCCTTGCTGAACAAAAGTATTGATTTCATAAAGAACTTTTAAACGGTAGTGCACTTATTGTCCTGTATGTGTGAAAGCTTGTGTTTGGATGAATTAGTGTTGAAGCAGGCTTGGATGTGTCTCAAGATGCATAAAGGAGCTGCTATGGTAACTGTGTGTGTTTGTTCAGATGAGACTGAGGGACGACATGTGAGCCTGATTACAAAGATTATTTCAGGAGTATGTTTCTGACTGTAAGGATGTTAGGGTTTTTCCTGGTTCCAAGGTGCGTCCAGAGAGCTTATGCATGACAGGCAGTTAATTTAACAGACGAGTCAATAGTTTAAATTCATTTAAAATGAGAGGAAATTATGTAATGGCTGTTGGCTCTTGTGTCATACGGTACAAAAATGTCACAGAGTTCGAAATACATCATGTTGCTAGAGTGTTGTGGGCTATTGCTGGGTGATCACTTTTTGACCAAATCTATATTCTTGTCCCAAGTTGTAGCTCGGGCCACTCCTTCAATGTCTGTTGGATTTACATTGCAAGTCAGATTGCTTAGAAGGTCAAGTCAAAGTTATTTATATAGCGCTTTATTCAAAACAAATAGCTTCCAACCAGCTTTACAGTAAAAATCAGTGTGACTATTTCAAAAATAACTTGTAGAAGTTTATTAATAATAGCAATTAAGTAATAACATACCTATGCTAAATATGCTGCATGATTAAAAATGATCATCCATGTCCATAACATAAACGTGGCATTGTTAAATACTTAGAGACGCCTAAAGTATACTTCAGTTTTGACACTTATGAATGCATACGTGTGTTCATGGCATGTAAAATTACCATAATTACAAGGTTACAGCTTATAAAAAGTGTTCACATCCTTGTAAACAACTTACAACTTGTAAACTTGAATTTTCTGAAAGCTCTGACTTGTATCACCTGACCTCTGCATCACTGTGTGGTCACACTCAAAATGACAGCATCTTCAAGAGTAAAATGTAGTTAAGCAGTTATTTTGTAATATTTCTGTTAAATAATTCATATAATTGAGTGTCCAATGTCTTAATAATGCAAAAGTAACCAAAAGACATACAGTACAGTTTAATGTAGCTAGTACAGAGTTCGATAACTATCTAATGTCCCTCTAAATAAAATACTAAGTTTAATAAATAAGTTTATTATTAATACATTTGCATTGCTTGTTTAGTTGCAGTTATGTCTGGTTACTCAAATGACATGGTTTGTTACATAGATTTAAATTACATAGATGTTCCATTTCTTTTTTTACTGTGAAACCACAAACCAGGACAGTTTTAGTACTAATTAGTACAAAAGATTTGTAGAAAAAATTTATCTGCGTGCATATAATATAGCTGCTTGTGTCCGGTGCAGACGTGGTGTTAGAGGTTTGTTCAAATAACTAGTTCTAATGCCCAAAGCATATGAAAAAGTACTAGTTATTTTTGTAATAATGTCAAATGCTGCAGGAAAGTTTCAAACTGCAGTGTAAGCACATTTGTGAAGGTGCTCTGTACAGCATGGCACATCCTGAGCCTCCAAATCTGTGGAATCACAGCTGTACACTTCTGTGTTTGATGTGTCTTAACAATGACATTTGGCCTTTGACCTCTGGAGCTGTCTGAGGTCAGGAGTTCACTCTGCCATGTGGGAGCTGCACCTGTTTACCCCAGTACTGCGAGACTGTGTGTGTGTGTGTGAGAGAGAGATCATATTTCCCATGAGTCAGGAAAGAACAGCTGTGGGTGTGAGTAATGGGTACAATAACACCACAAAATACCTTGAACCAGAAATGCGCACACACAGTCATACACATTGCAGCATTGTGGCAGGAAGTTTTGCACGGGTGAACACCACTCATATTTACTAAGGGAAAAAGTAACGGATGTAAATCTAGTTGGTATTATTGATCTGTTCATTCAGATGGAGGCTTTTATCCACAAAAATGAAACGCAATACACCAGTCTGTTACACCACTTACTGAATGGCCAGTGCGCACATAACACACACACACACACATACATGCCTGTGTATTATCTTTGTGTGGAAGGATGACATTAATCAATAGTGTCACCATGGCAACCATCAGATGTGCTGCTTTATCTGACAGAGGTAAATATGTTTCAAGAGGGTTCAAAGAAAATGTGTGTCTCTTTTCTCATCCTTCAGACCTCATCACCTGTCTGGAAAAAGGAGGGCACTTCAGTGAAGCGGAGTTCAGGTACTCACGTTTACAGCTGTCTGGGGTGTGTGTTTTCATGTTCTTGCATATATGTGTGTCTGTGTCTCATATTCCCGTCCTGCATTTGCAGTAAATTCTGTCCTGCTGGGTGCTTGACTGATTTCGGAGAGGTTTCGGGAACCATACCGCATGGATACAGAGATGTAAGTAGGCCACTGTTTAGTGGATGTTAGATTGAAGGGTTAGTTTAGTCATAAATGAAAATTTTGTTATTATTCACTCACCCTCGTGTTGATCCAAACTTGTATGACTTTATTTAAAGAATGCAAAAGGAGACATTGTTCGTAATGTGTTAAGCTCAAGGTATACTTATTAGAATATTAGAATGATTGTGTTCTAAATAGTAGAAATGTATGTTGAAATGAGTATCACGACTTGGTTTACTGTTTCTGGTGGAAAGACGAAGTGCAGATCCATAGACACTCTAAAGGCTAATATTCCACACAACCCATTGCGTGTTAGAACTACAAACATGAATAAAAAGTGTTAAAAAACTACAAACATGATGCATATGCTAGACAGATGGTTAAGTAGAGATGTTTAGATAAAGTGATTTGAGTGATTAATACTCATTATCTAAAAAATATTTCATGTTATCAACAGCAATGTAAACATCTCTAAATATATGTTTGGTAATGAACTCTAAAAAGCATGATTATGCAAACAGCTTTTCTTTTTTTTTTCATCTGTGAAACAATGGCCATGTCCAAGGCATTGCCACCTTGTGGATTAACTATTAGTGCAAAAATTTCAAGGTACACATGCAAACTAAGGAACTGAGTATGTGCAATTTATAAAAAATCAGGCTGCACATATTATGCTGGTAATAATATGTACGTCACATGCACTGTAAACATACCCTACTGTCCACATAAAAACTGAAACATACTTTGGGCTTTAGTCACTCTGTTCCATGCAATTACATTGAACGGGGACTGAAGCTTTCAAGCTTGAAAAACGAAGCAAAAGCATCTTAAAAGTGGTCAATATGACTTATATATTTCAAGTCTATTTATCCTGTACGAAGAATCTGACCGACATTTAAGTCATTATTCACTGATTATCTTCTTCTCCAGTGAGCTCTCAACTTGAGAACCACTGTGACCACATTGAATCCTTGAGATCACTGAAAAGATCTGACTCAAACAAACCAGACATGCTCAGGGACACAAGAAGTGCGGGCGCTGTTGCTTCTGCGTTATATGATTTGTTTATCCTCTTTAACTGCAGTGATTCAGCTCTTCAAAGTAAAATATTCTCTTAGGGCTTCATGTTTGAAATGTTCCGTCTGAAGTCTTTACATTCTTAAGAAATGTTTATAAAAACTGTCCTTCATTCCATAAGGAATATGTATTGATGTACTACAAGAGAGGAGGCATTCACTTAGAAATCTTTTTTTTCAATGAATTGCATCTTTTTTGAAAGTTGGTTATTAAGAAACAAAGAAAACTGTCTTACAGGTTCTTGAAATTGCACAGGTTCACAAATAAATGATTATATCACGCAGCTATAATATTTTTAACGTGTTGTTTAACTGTTTGATTGTGTTTTCAAAGCAATAGCATCTTTAAAACACTGTATAAGTGCATCAACTAATGTTTTTACAGATTAAGGTATCAGTCAAAATGATTGTCCATGGTGATGAAAAGCATGTCACAGATGCTGTCAGCTGTATTTAACTGAAGAATATTTCTTTTAGCACGACCGCACACTGTCTTAGCCGTACATTATCATCATCACTGCTTTAATGCTTCCTGCTTGCTTTAAAACTGTTTAGATGATTTCATTTTGTCTGTTTGAACACAATAGGCAGTTTTCTTCTTGAGAGCATGTTTCAAACTTTAGGGTGTATGAATAGGAGTTTGAGGGAAAGACAGAGCGTGAAGCAGACATTCTTCTGAAGTTGAGTCATTGTAAATGATTCTGCGTGTCAGTTTTAGAGCTCTTGGTCTCCTAGGGGCGTGTTGGTATGCGCGTCTGTGTGTTTGGATGTATGTGTGTGCGTGTTTTTATGTGTGCATGACAGCGTGTTTCTCGGGGAGATGTTAGATCAGGTTTGGCTGAATGGTTTTCTAATGCAGACCAGCTGACAACAGTCTTGTTTCTCAGCTCAGATACACCCTCAGAATTAGTGTGGGGCCCATATGACGCCTTTACGATTGTGTGTGTGTGTGTGTGTGTGTGTGTGTGTGCGTGCACGCGTTGTTTGTGGCGAGAGGGGTGTTTTATTTTGCCCAGAGGAAGTGGTGTATGTTTGCAGTGTCAGTGTGTGTGGATGTTGAGAGTTTGCCTAGTGTGTGTGGGTGTTGAGAGTTTGTCTAGTGCTTGTGGTCTCTTTTTGGTTTGGAGTCCCAACTGTGTGTGTATGTTTCATCAGAACTGTCATTTTTTCTTTTTAAACTAGCAATTTTACTATTATTCCAGTGCTGGGCAGCAAGTGGCTCTGGCCATGTACACATTGCAGTTAGATGTGGTTGTTATTTTCTCCTGAGTGCTTGAAGACCTTCTGGGAAGTTCAGCTTACGAGTTTGGAAGTCGTGATTTCAGCATGATGTGCATTCGAGTGCCACCGCAAATATAAGTGCACTGTAAAACACGCATCTGTGGATCAGATTGTTTAAAACTTGTTTATTAGGACTGTTTTTCTTGCTGACAGGCTTATAAGACTGATTTAAATGCGTCTGATTATGTTGCGTTCACATGCACAGCAGACATATCTGTTGTAAACATAATCTTGATTTGTTTATTTGATTAATTGTGCAGCTCTAGGACACATTAGGGAACTTATTAAGAAAGACAATGAGCTTTTTAAGGCCCTAATTCAACAAAATAGAGGGCAGGATGCACATTAGGTGTGTAAATGATACTTGCGTTTCGTCCTTTATGTGCTGCCACAGCAGATGGCAAATGTGGTACATTTCCTGTCTCCTCATAAGCTGCTAAATGAGTTGTATTTTCTGGCAAGCTTTATCACTATTCTTCATCACCCTCAAAATTGGACTTTATAACTCGCAATTGCGAGTTTATATCACGCAATTCTGACTTTTTTTCTCATAATTGTGACTTTATATCTTGCGATTTTGACTTTATAACTTGCAATTGCGAGTTTACATCTCACAATTCTGAGAAAAAAAGTCAGAATTGCGAGATAAAAAGTCGCAGTAACCTTGTTTTATTCAGTGGCGGAAACGGGCTTCCATAATAAACCTTAATGTTACCTTAATGTTAAAATAATATATAAGTAAAAATAATAATAATAGTAATAATAAAGTAAATATATGTTGTTTACTTGTGTATATATGTCACAGTGAGATGATAAGACATTGCAATTTCTGTTTTATGCTGTTTTATGGCAGCAAAACCACCCACTAATGTACAGAGTGCTGATGAGTGAATGGAAAAGAATTGAAAATGATTTTCATTTCTCTTTCTGCAGTGAAGTTTTGTGGAGGGAAAGAATGGAAAGACGCTGTCATACAGTCGGAGGGGCATCAGGTCACAGTGCAGTTCATGAGTGGACCACACAACAATGGCCGTGGCCTCTTCCTCTCCTACACCAAAAGCCAGCACACAGGTAAGCAGTCAATAAACATTTCTTTTTATTATCAATGTTGAAAACAGCTGCTTAATATATATATATATGGTAACACTGTACTTGAAGGGGTGTGCATAAGACTGACATGGCACCTTCATAATCATGACATGACACATGTCATGAATATGAAGGAGGTTTTATGCATGTTTATGACAACTGTCATTAAGTGTCA